TTACTGCAACACACATGAACCCTAGTCTACCATTGTGAATAATGCACCCACAAGATGCTCCAGCTTGTGTTTTGTTATTAATGTTAATTAGACATGTATATCGGTGTTGACAGTTTATGTCTGATGTAACACTTCGGGCAGCCCTACAACAGATACATATTACAAGTCACTTGAAAACCATCAAGTGGAGAAAAGATGTGTGTTCACACTCTAGGATAGACACAGCCACTAATCCGTTGCTTCGAGAACTGTAACAACCTAGATGGACCAGTAGTTTAATTCTCATTCTCTACACATCACACATGACCACTGGTCTGAAGGGAGCTGCAGACTAGCTCAATGTGACCACTGGTCTGAAGGGAGTTGCAGACTAGCTCAATGTGACCACTGGTCTGAAGGGAGCTGCAGACTAGCTCAATGTGACCACTGGTCTGAAGGGAGCTGCAGACTAGCTCAATGTGACCACTGGTCTGAAGGGAGCTGCAGACTAGCTCAATGTGACCAGTGGTGACTACCTTGTTACTGGTCTAAAAAGACCCAATAAACTGGACACAGCAGAGAAAAACTATTGATTACCCAAAGACTATCAATACAATAGATGCCTCATGTAGATACTCACGGACGTAAACAATATCATCAGGAGCCCTGGGCATTAGGGCTGCAATGATTCAGTTTGATTCATCGAAAATCGAATCTGACACCTTACTTTAGATTTTCGACAACCATTATCACTATTTCGATTCGATATTTGAATACCTATTTAAATCATTTCCACACAGCTCAGTTTTGAGCGCTGACATAAGGTGAAACATGATTGGTTGACACCGGGATAATTATCCAATGAGAATTGTTGTTAGTAGACATCGCCAAGTTGATGGATTTCATGCTAAAAAAGCCGATTCTAGGAGTTAAATGAAATCTGATGTTTATACTTGTATATGAAGAATCGAATCAAAAATGATCAAATCGAGGGTCCAATATCGAAAATCGAATCGAATCGAGGTCTGGGTGAATCGTTGCAGTCCGAATGGTCATCATCTTCCTCGTCAGGTCTGTTTGATTGGCATTTTAGAAATGGTTGGGTAAAAAGAAAGGCAGGACACTTCATGGATGACAGCTTCTTCTAATATGGTGTGACTTTTTGGTATAGAGTCTCAGCCTCTTGCTTGACAACAGTATAACATTACAGCTTGTATCAGTCAGTAGTTTGTTTAACGCTGCACTCAGCAATATTCCACCTTTATGACAGCGTTCTGTAAATAATCAAGTCTGGGCCAAACAATCTAGTGATTGACATCAAGAGCATCAACCTACCAAACTAGGTTACAAAGACATGCATCAGTCAGTGGATCTAGCCTAACGTTTCAGTTGCTGATCATCAATTCTAGTCCGCATCTTCACAGTGCGTGGTACTTACAAAAGTCATTATTGCTAATAAGGTTTCTATTTCTGCCTCCAACACAGTTTAATGTCAAATGCATGACAATGTGTGCCAACATCTAACTTTCCTCTAGTTAGTGCTAGGAAATACTTGAAGGGCTAGTACTTGCAGTGAACCAACATTCAAAGGGGAAACATGTGAAATTCACTGAAGGGATTAACCTCAATGATGAGACTCTCCGTAATGATCCTGGGATATTCCAGGTATAAGTACAATAAATATGATAAATTTCAACGTATTTACGAGGCCTTCATCAAGTTATGGACGGGAAGTTTCACTGTAACAATTTTGTATGAAGAGAGTAAAATGTAGTGAGTATGGTTCTATACCGCTTTTAGTAATATTCCAGCAATATCATGACAGGAACACCAGAAATTGCCTTCACACATTGTACCCATGTGCGGAATGGAAACAGGGTCTTCAGTGTGACAAGCGGACGCTTTAACCACTAGGCTATCCCACTGCCCCGACTAAACTGTAAAACAGCGACAGAAATACAACTAAATTGGCTTCAATGATCCACAAGCACCATACTATTTGTGCAACCCATCAGTCCCTGCTGTAGGCCAGGATTCTGCAGTTGTGGAATATTTGGAAGAATTGTCCTCTTGACTCAGAACTTGACAAGATGATATTTGTGCAGAACTGATGCAGAATGTTCAATCCTTCTGCCATACAATCTCCAAACTATACTGCAGCAATTCTCAATACAAAGCAAACGACGGATCTCAGTATATAAAAAGGTGCACGTTTTGGTATTTCTGTGTTAGGACAATTTAAAGTAATCATTTTCAGAATTTGTGTAGCTTTAGGTTAAGAAAAATAATAAACGTACAATTTCATGTCCATGTTCTGCCTGTTCTTTCACAAATCACAGATACATTTGTCCAAAATAGGCTCAATTTAAAAAAAAATGGCTTAAGATATGGCAGAACTTTGTGCAGAACGCATAAAAACTGGTTGAAGAAAAGATATAAATTACATGGAATATTTCAGACTGGGCAAAAGGTGTGATCCTATAAGGTGTGTAAGGCAAGTTTAGAACAAACACTCTCGGTAAGAGTTCCTCCCGTCCCCCCATCCCAAATAATATTATAAATTAAGATATGCTACAATTATTAACAAAACCTAACACAACAATTACTAGAGAACTCACAAATATAACTGGAAGCTCCAAAATTAATTACAACATATAGGGTCGAACGTCTTTGCGTTACCTCTGATAATCTGCAGAAGAAAGAGATGGGGGAACGGACGGAACTCTTTCCACACTCTCTAAAAAATGTGTACAGGTATAGGTAACAGGAGCAGTGAGTGAGTTTAGCCAGCCGCACTCAGCAATATTCCAGCTATATGGTGGCGGTCTGTAAATAATCGAGTCTGGTAACTGCATGGTGCCATGAATGTAAGGAGACCATCATGTCTAGGGTGTTGTTCTCGTAGGCCGGGCAAGTCCAGGTGTCATTACAACCCTTCCTGTTTCATGGTACTTGTCTCAGAATCTAGAAATTACACATGGGATACTTCCTACCATTTGCCATCTTGTATGCTCACTTACATTTTCAGTCTGAGGAATTTAAGTATGTGATTGCTCTTGTCAATTCCCCAAGGGGCACATGCACTTCTGTTTCTGTGTGCATGTGCATCGTGTGCTCTTCATGCATGATAGAAAATATTATTGTGACTAGCTATTGCGTTCCGATGCAAGGTCATGATATATGGTCACTTAACAACAACTTCAATCACTTCATGAGTTTCCTTGTTTTCAGCAATGAAGTATATTTTCCACCCTTTCAGAAAGGTAGGCACTATTTTGTGAGAGTCGAGACACAGAACCTTCAAAATGTGTACACCTGCCAGTATACATGTTTGACATGACTTGCCCGGTACACATGAGATGCTATCACAGTTTAGCATGTTGAACCAACAAGTACAACAACATGACAAACAAAGGCTTTAACCACTGAGCTACCCTACATCTCGCACAATCATCATAGTTACTTATGATCGAAATGATAGAAAACAGGAGGATATTTATCTCTCCCCATAAACTGACTGAAATATAACGATGAACTATGCCATGTTGTCTCAGACCTACTGAGCATGATAAGTGTAAAGAGAACAAAAGCTGTTCTTGCTCACACAGCCAACTATTCTCTATATTACCGGCTGATGTTTGCAAGTAAACTATTCAGCATGTTTCAGTAATTTTACATGAATATAATTTAAACAATAATGCACTTTTGAACCCAGGGCTCCAGATACATTTTCAACATCAGGAGTACGTACTCCTAATTTGTTCAATATACGAGTACTGGAAAACCTTAAGTGTACATTTAGAGTACTGAATGGAAATTAATGAACTATCAGTAATCTTGTGTTTCGTTTCATATATGCACAACAATATTGCTACTTTTGTGTAAACAGGGCAATAAACAATAAAACAATACTTCTTTTCAGATAAATATGTATGTAAATGATTCTAATACCGTACACCATTGCTGTGGTGCGTATCTGCTACGTTTTTAAATTATTTCCTACCGTATCGTGCATATTTTTTTTCCGTACATACGCCGATACTGCCCTTATCTGGAGCCCTGTGAACCAATAGTTCATATTTGCATCCAATTATGCTGCTGATGAAATAGATAATTTTAACATGATAAAAATCACAAAACAACCATTAATTCTTGTTCTTGTTTTCCACCTTTCCTCAACTATCTATTTCATGCTTTGAAGTGTTAAAAAAGTGCAATCCACAAGCCTGAAAATGTTTGAGTCACAGGATAAGCATCCCTAACATGACCAAATAGGAGGAAGGCATTGAGCTAAAAAAAAATTATTTATCTCATTTTTATTTAAAATTTCAAAGAAAGTGAATAAATATATATCTGCTGGGGGACAAGCTGTTCACTGGTTTCTTTGTGATGCATCCATTGGTAATCTGTAACCTATTTATACTGCAAGACGTACACCTGTATCAACATTAGGAAGCACATCTGCTGTAACTCTGATAAATGGTGTCAGGTTACATACTGACAAGATAACACTATCCGCCAAGGTTGGAGGGAGCACATCCCCCCTCCCATCCCCATCTGGCAAACTGCTGGCCAAAGTGAAAGTAACGATTTCAAGATTGTCATCACCGTTAATAGGACAGTGTCTAGGTTTTATGTGCAGAAACTGCGATTTTGTAGTTGCACAATGTCATGATGATCGAAGTCAAACATGCATAACGATGAAATGATGCATGACAGACAGCCTGTCAATCAAAATCAACAGGCAAACCGGAAATGCACTTTCTTTTCGTTTCAAGGCAGATTTCGTACTATTACAGTCCGGATTTCACAAAAATAAAACCAACGCACCAAACAATATCAAAGCGAACCACTTTTCTCTTTTCCATAGCGTTCTTGTAAACTTTTACTGCAGGCATATGCCCAATCACATACCTTGACACGTTGGCCTTACCGGTGCCAACATGTCTTGAAAGCCACAAAACGAATACAACGCTCGTGAAACAAAGCAAATAACTGGAAATTGTGCAGAAATTAATCACCTTCTCTTTTCCTGCTTCTAATTTCTTCTTTCTTTGCTCTTCTTCCATCTTTATTGGTATATTCTAGCGATTTTGTCAACAAAAACATCTGCGGCCATTTTCTTCCATCGCGTCGCTTAGAAATGCCACAAATATATAGAGTTATCCCCCTTGTATGCTAGACTGAATGAGTCTCTTTTCATAGGAGTATTGTTGGGTGGCTAGACTCCACTCAGTTTCTGATTTTTTATAATATCTTTAGAAAGAAATAATTCCTTTTAAACTGAAAAGTGAGAAGGCGGAAGGGGACATGTAACACAGACTATTAGGTGGCATATAATTTTGTCTACAATAAAAACAGTACTTTGACGTAGCTAATTTAACACCTCTCTTTGATCTCATTGTCAATATAATTGAAACGTTATCATTGCATAATCTATATACAGTATCGGTTCTTGATCATGATATTATTATCTACAGCGGATAGTTGAATGTACAAGGTTGACGCGAGTCTGAAATACGGACGCTGAACAACGCTGACAATTGCATTTCATGTGTTGCCATAGTTACCACTGATACCAAAAGTACAGTATCGTGCATAAACAAGTCCAAAGATTATCCTAGTCAATGTTACTTTTGTTATAGCATTTATCCGAAGTTGTTTTGAAATAGAATTCAATATTTATATCAAGGGAAAACATTCTATGTTATCATTACTCAAATATATGTTTGTTGAGAAAGACGCGTCTAATTTCCAAATTATATATCCTGTCACAAATTGAATTTTCTATGCGTTTCTGGAGAATTAAGGACTCATTATTATAAACCACCCCTAGATTTTCGAAGCTCTCCTAGTGTGAAGATGGCCAAACATTAACGTTAACTTAAGACTATCTTAGCGCTAAGAGAGCTTCGAAAATCTTAGCCCATGTGTACTTCGTTGGAAAAAAAACATCACCATACACACGAAACCATACACATAAGTAATTACTGTAGTCTGTCTCACAGTCCCTGAACCACAGTATTTCCCCTACTGCCTTACCCTCCATGCCATTCTAAAGCCTAACTTAATGGACCAAGTCTAGATTTCCCTGAATCTCCCAACTCACTGGTGCTCCTTTTCAATTTGAACAGGTTTATTTGTTACTATCAAAATCTTCAGGGACTAAGCGTTAGTCTAAGAAGTAATTAAATTCACCCGTTTATAAGCGTTGTGTGTGTGAAGTGACACCGTGACTCGTTCGTTAGTGACAGTGAAATCAGCACATATGCGGTGAAGAGTTGTGTGCCTTAGTCGTTACAGGATCCTGTCAACGTGAGTTTGATCCCCATCTTTTCCCTGAATATAGCTCTGTATTGACAGCACTGAGCCTACGCGTTTCTTATACCAAGGCAGGCTTTCCCCTTACACCATACTGACACACGGTAATATACCCAACATACTGGTCAAAGCGAAATAAAATCCTCCTCAGACGCTTTATCCCCGTGTGCGATCAGAGATGTAGGACGTGAGGTATTGTCGATACTGCTGTCTTCACCAATAGCCTTACTTCGCTGTAGCAGGATATTCTCCCGTGCTCGTCTGGCGTTGTCCCCCTCCAGCCTGCCCCCAATGTGTACTCTGTACTGAGGTTTTTCAGCTTTCGAGGGTAGATGGGTAAGTTCCGATCCCTATCAATATATAGGCGTGAATGAGAAACGTCACCCCCTTCTACACTGATACATTTGTGCCAATGTCGGGGAGGTTTTATCCTTCTCTTGACTTTCCTCTAAGCTTTAGACAGATGGCGTTATCGTCTGAATAGATTTACTTTCCGACTACAGCTTCCTTCTTGTTTGGGAACAGAAGATCAGGATAATATATTGTATATGATGGGTTCAGAAGGGGACCTCAGAATCCTAGGCCCCTTTGACTTAATCTCATCTCGCAACTGCTTCACAAGTGCAGCACAATCTACTTAGTTCATCGTATGGGCTTTGGGAACATCCTCCCGCAAGATGACTCCCCTGTGATCCAGGAACACGGAACGGATGACATTCAGAGTTGATGGCCAAGTCTTTACCTTTGTGGTGATGTGCAGTGTTGCCACTGCTTTGATAGTTGTTTGGACTCCGGATGGAAGACGTTGACCTTGGATATACCAATAGCCCAAAGTCGTTGCAAGTACCTTTCTGTATCAGCTTCCAACAGACCCGGATTGTCACAAGACAATAACATGCATGGTAGGTGCGTTTTGTATCAGATAACGGAGACTTTGGAACACACCGCCCTGATAGTTTCTTCATTGCCAGAGTTTCTGTTTCCTAACAAGCAATTACTGTCATGCTTTCTGATAATGTGCAACAATTCCACCATGATACATCCAAATGTTTCTAAGTACCTCATGCACATCGTGTTGATGACTGCCTGCCTCGGTCTATTCATCATGAGGCCGTTGTCCTACATATGGGTTATCCAGTCTCTGTGTACCACGACATTTAAATATTTATTTTGTTTTATGAACTCTTGATCAAAACTTGATTCTTTGTCAATTCTGAGCAGTAACGATGGATTATACCTAGAAGTCCTTAGTGTGTTAAAGTTAAATTGAAAGTTGCAACATTTCAGCACCATGGCGACAAGTCAAGAAACGTGTGTGTTGTGAGACTGTTGTTATATCTGATGCTAAGTCCAGTATCAATGTCAGGCACTGTAGCTCACCCATACATTCAAAGTGAGCCGAATACAGGGCAATCGTGAATCAGAGTGTGCTGAACACGGGCAATTGTGAGTCAGTGTGAGCCGAATACAGGGCAATCGTGAGTCAAAGTAAGCCGAATACAGGGCAGTCTTGAATCAAAGTGAGCCAGATACATGGCAATCGTGAGTCAAAGTGAGCTGGATTCAGGGCAGTCTTGAATCAAAGTGAGCCAGATACAGGGCAATCGTGAGTCAAAGTGAGCCGGATACAGGGCAATCGTGAGCCAAATACAGGGCAGTCTTGAATCAAAGTGAGCCGGATACACGGCAGTCGTGAGTCAAAGTGAGCCGGATACAGGGCAGTCTTGAATCAAAGTGAGCCGGATACACGGCAATCGTGAGTCAAGTGAGTGAGCCGGATACACGGCAATCGTGAGTCAAAGTGAGCCGGATACACGGCAAATGTGAGTCAACGTGAGCCGGATACACGGCAATCGTGAGTTAAAGTGAGCCGAATACAGGGCAATTGTGAGTCAGTGTGAGCCGAATGCAGGGCAATCGTGAGTCATTAAGGAAGGTGAGGTTCTTCATATGTTACTATAGTTGATGTTAGGTAACAGTACAGTCTTGGTATTAAACCATGAGCATTGCTCACTTGGATCCTCAAAACAAGATACAGCTATTTTCTGGACTGTATTGAGAGTTATCTACCCTTACAAGGTATGAGTGACAATGGTTTTACTCTGTGTTTAGCAATATTCCAGCAATATCACGGAGGGGAATCTGAAATGGACTTCACGCATGGAATCATGTTTGGAATGAAACCCCGTGAGGGAGCCCAGAATACCACCCCACCAGATTATACCCCGTGGTAAACTATAAGCTACCCCAGTTTATACCCCGTGGTATATTCTGGACCAGGCCAAAGTATACCCCTCCAGCCCAGACTATACCCGGGGGTATATTCTGGACCAGGTCAAAGTATACCCCTCCAGCCCAGACTATACCCGGGGGTATATTCTGGACCAGGCCAAAGTATACCCCTCCAGCCCAGACTATACCCGGGGGTATATTCTGGACCAAAACCAAAGTATACCCCTCCAGCCCAGACTATACCCGGGGTATATTCTGGACCAGGCCAAAGTATACCCCTCCAGCCCAGACTATACCCGGGGGTATATTCTGGACCAGGCCAAAGTATACCCCTCCAGCCCAGACTATACCCGGGGGTATATTCTGGACCAGGCCAAAGTATACCCCTCCAGCCCAGACTATACCCGGGGGTATATTCTGGACCAAGCCAAAGTATACCCCTCCAGCCCAGACTATACCCGGGGGTATATTCTGGACCAAGCCAAAGTATACCCCTCCAGCCCAGACTATACCCGGGGGTATATTCTGGACCAAGCCAAAGTATACCCCTCCAGCCCAGACTATACCCGGGGGTATATTCTGGACCAGGCCAACGTATACCCCTCCAGCCAAGACTATACCCCTAAAAATTTATGTTGACAATTCACTCAATACGAGTATGTGACTCCGGGCAATGGTCTCGGTGTCATTTAAAGGTATTTGGAGGTGAATTTAATTTAATTTATTGCGCAATACAAAATTGATGAAGCATTTGTTGAGTCCCTCTCTACGATGTGAACCCGTGAAGGTCCGGGTTAGAATGAACCTACAGTAACCCATGCTTGTCGTAAGAGACGACTAACGGGATCGGGTGGTCAGGGGCCCCTTTCACGAAGCAACCTTTACTAAGGTTAGCCTTAACTCCCATTCTTTAACATTGCACTAAGGTTACCTTAGTGACTTACGATCACCTTAGCGCTTGGTTGACACGTCATCGGTTCCTAATGTGTGATCAAACGTGAAATGAGAAAGCTTAAACCGAATGCTACACACGCATTACGCAGGTCAATGCTCATGCTGTTGATCACTGGATTGTCTGGTCCAGACTCGATTATTTACAGACCGCCGCCATATAAACTCACTCACTCACTCACTCTGCGATGTGACACTTTCGACTTTGCGAACCGAGCCATGCTGATATATCAAGGTGTTTGTGGAATTATTATATACCTACTTTCTTGTTGTGACAAAGTGCTCACAAAAATTAGTTTTCTTGACTTTTAGCAGTGTATGAAATAAGGCCCGTCCGACCGTCCGAGACGGGCAAGATTTCTGTCGGACGGCCTACATTTACAGCTAGCCAGCCTGATGGTCTGGTAAGTTTTTTTAGAAAACATGTTCCTTAAATCTGAGTATTTCTTTGGATTGTCTGGTCTGGTTACATCCATTTTTGGCTGGTAACATTTTGAAGTTTCCAGCCCTGATGTCTGGCTGGGTTTTTGCGCATTTCATACACTGCTTTTAGAGAGAAAAGATATACGTTGAAAATAATTAAACAAAACATTTTGACAAGTGTTAAACAGATCAAACGTGAA